AACAGACTTGTGGTTGCCAAGGGGGAGGGGGTTGGGCGAGGGACGGTGTGTGAGGTTGGCGGTAGCAGATGTAAGCTTTTATATACAGGATGTATAAACAAGGTCCTGCTGTATAGCACAGAGAACTATATTCAATATCCTATGATAAACCATAATGGAGAATTTTAAAAGAATGCATATATATGTATAACTGAATCACTTTGCTGTACAGCAGAAATTAACATCATATTGATTCAGAGCTGCCTGTGAAGCACAAGCCACAGGGGAGGACTCAGCTGCAGGGAAGAGCAGCACAGCTCTGGGGGCCACGGAAGAGGTGCAGAAACCAGACTTCACGGACTACACAGTTTTGCCTAGATCTGCCCCTACACGGAGCAGCCAGAAATAATTTCAAGACCACATAAGGGCTGAGTTTTGAGTGGTGGCTGATCCCCGCTGACATCCCACTGAGGATGTTTGATTGTCCCCCTGTATTCCAAACCAGGTGTCTTTGGATGGCAATCTCCTTTCTCTCACCCTGGGGTGGCCAGAGGGGAAGCTGGATTAGATGTAGGGGGGCAATAGGGTAAAGGTTTAAAAAATTATACTCCATGACTGGTTGCCTAAGATTATGTATGAGGAGTGATCGTAAGTAATGAGAGCTAAAAAAATAAAAATGAATCAACTATAATTCAATTAAAAAAAAACCTCCCTCACTCCTCGCCTCTTCCCCACCCCACGATGCTCAGTGGAAAAAGCCCCATCCCGACTTGAACCAGCTACTGCCCCCTCCACCCTCCCTGACCAGCTGTGTGTTCCTGGAGGAAGAACACCCCACCTACTGACTGATCTCATTTGAAACTCACGGCAACAAATCTCGAGAGACCTAACGACTTCTGACTCTGCTTGTCTAGCTTGCGTGAGCTCCCCTTCAGAACAGCTGTTCACACCCCCTCTCCTCTCCACCTCCCACACCCTTGCCCACTTTCTCTCACCTCTTTGAGAAAACAGAAGCACATGGGGCAGGAAGGCCCTTTCCAGCATCACATGTAACAAACGACCCCATCTGGACTCTGTCCTCCCTCCCCTTCCCACTGAGGGCGTGTCCCGCTGACCCCAGCTCGCCCCCTTTTCCTCAGGTCCTCAGGGTCCACTCCTCCGTCCCCACCTCCTTTCTCTCCTGCACCGTCTGCTTCTCCCTGTCTCCTGGATCGGTGTCGCCGGTATATAAACATGCTCTGCTCCCTCCCATGGAGAACCACCTCTTCTCAGCCCTACATTCCCTCCAGCTGCCACATGTCCTCCCTTATGGCCAAAGTCCTCAGTTTCCATGCCTCACCTCTCATTATCTCCTCAAACCACTCCAATTAGCTTGTCTCCATCCCTTGCTTCATGGAAATGGCTGTGTTCGGCATCACCGGTGATGTCCTTGTTGCTAAACCCAGCAGTTAGGTCCTCTCGTTCAGCCTCTCCCATCATTCAGCACAGTTGGCCACCCCTCTTCCACCCCAGGCTCCCATGACCTAGCCTGCTGCACTTTTCTATCCACCTCCCTGGCTGTGTCTCAGTTTCCTTGGCCAGCTCTACTTTCTCTGCTCAGCCACTAAATATGAGTCACTCTGAGCCTTGTTTTTTTTTCGGCCGTGCCGTGCGGCTTGTGAGATCTTAGTTCCTTGACCAAGGATTGAACTCAGGCCCTCAGCAGTGAAAGCGCGGAGTCCTAACCACTGGACTGCCGGGGAATTCCCAGAGCCTTGTTCTCTTACTCAGCTACATTCTTGGCCAGTCTCATGGCTTTATATTCAAAAATCCATTTCTCCATCCCTGATCTCACCCCCGAGCTCTAAGCTCATTTCCAGTTGATGACTTGATGTCTCCACATAGATCTCCAATGGGCCATTGGGCTTGGCCACATATATGACCTATTCAGGCCAATGAAATCTAAGAGGGAGTGACATCACCATCCTTTTTCCTTGTCCATGTTAACCAGCAATATTCAAATATTGGCCTGGGTCCCAGAGAAAAACGTCAAGCAGAGCCACAGTTGACCTGCAATAGACATGCAGCAGGAGGGAGAAATGTTTGCTGTATTAAGTAACTGAGATTTGGCGGGGGAGCGGAGGGGGGGTGTTACCACAGCATAATCTAGCCTATCCTGACTAAATGTACCTCATAAAGTTGTGGAATCCAATAAGGCAACAGAAGCTTTTTGCATGAAGACAGGTTTTCATTGTCTCCCCAGCACTTATTGTATAGTGGGGGAGACAAGATATACCTCTGTGGTTGGAAAACAGGCCTTGCTGGAAATACAGTGGAGTTCCAGCTCACACCAGAGCCCAATTCTCAGTCAGTCCCTTGGTACCAAATTTATCCTTGAAGTTCCCTTAAATTGCCCATTAAATACAGAATGGTGTGATCTGTGCTGAAGATCAACACAGACTGTTTTCCTCCAGCACTGGAGCAAATGGCTTTTCTTTGGTTGAAAACCAAATAAATTGATTTGCTGAAGTATACGCTTTGTATAAGAAAAATTTGTCTTTAAACAGCAAAACCACACTCTCTATGGTAAGACGCTGCCTACCAAATCTACCTGCTCTTCCTCCTAGTGCCATAACTAATCTCTTTCCCAACCTCCCCTGCATGTAGATGTGGCCACGTGACTTGAGTTGCAGCCAATGCAACGGGAGTGGCAGTAGCACGTGCCAATTCCCTGCCTTCCCATAAACCAGCCTCGTGCAGTCCTCCAGGTGCTCCTCTGCCTGCATGAGATGAAGGCAAGCAGGGTGCTCTTGGAAGCTGTGTGTTGAAAATCACAGAACCGTAAGTCGGGAGGAGCCTGAGTCCCTGAATCTCTGCTTCAGGAGCTCCCAATCAGGAGCTCCTGATTAGGCCTTAACAGGAGTTAAAAATAACCTATCTTGGGACTTCCCTGGTGGCGCAGTGGTTACAAATCTGCCTGGCAACGCAGGGGACCCGGGTTTGAGCCCTGGTCCCGGAAGATCCCACATGCCGTGGAGCAGCTAAGCCCGTGTGCCACAACTACTGAGTTTGCGCTCTACAGCCCACAAGCCACAACTACTGAGCCCGCGTGCCTAGAGCCCGTGCTCCGCAACAAGAGAAGCCACCGCAATGAGAAACCCGCGCACTGCAATGAAGAGTAGCCCCCCGGTTGCTGCAACTAGAGAAAAAGCCTGCGTGCAGTAAAATTAATTAATTAATTAATTTTAAAAAAGATATTGTTACATATATTCCTTGAGGAGGAACCACGACCCAGCCCCAGGGCTGCACTATTGTCTCTTGACATCTCCTCCCTTGTTTCCCCATTCCCTCCCTTCTCTGATTAGCAACTGTTTGAACCTGCCCTTTGGAACTCAGGGAAGGTCATGGAGGCTGAATGAGGCCTATTTCCTACAAACAAGAAACAGGAGACACGGAAAGGATTTGTACCTGGGAGCCCCACAGGGTCCTGCTGGGTTTCATTAGCGGACCAGCAAATATACAAAATGAATTTTAAAATACAGAATACGTGTAGACGTGAAGAATTTATTTAGACACAGAATCAGTGAGTAGCAGTGGTTGCCGCTGGGGAGAACTGGGAGCTTAAAGTGGCAGGAGACTTGTCATCCTTTTGTAATGTGTGCAATGTACTATTTTTACAGGCGAATAATTTACCTATTATTTTGAAAGATTCCTTCAGCGCCTCCATGTGGCCCTCAGGGTGAAGTCCAAAAGACCTCGTGGGTTCCTCAGACTGCTGCAGGCTTCCACCCCACCTCTCTTCAGCTCTCCAGGCACCAACCCCCAGTGCTCCGTGTTCCAGCACATCAATCCGCTTCCATTTGGCAACTGCTCAGGGCGCTCTCTGGCCTCCCAGCTCCCTCAGCCGAGAATCAATCCTCTCCTCTGCATTAACCCTTCCCGCCCCAATTACTATTACCAGTTTTCTACTTAAGACACCCAAAGCACTACAGCACATTCTAACCCTATCCCCCAACAAGCACCTCCCTAACTGCATCATCTCCTTCCTGGCTATCCTGTGGCCTCCTTTCCACTGAATCCCCTGGGCCTAGAGCAGTTGAGGCTCAATACACATCTTTTTTTTTTCTTTGGCAGTGGCACCCGGCTTGTGGGATTTTAGTTCCCTGACCAGGGATCAAACCTGTGCCCCCTGCAGTGGAAGCGTGGAGCCCTAACCAATGGACTGCCAGGGAAGTCCCTCAATACACATCGGATAAATTTCAGCCCTCTCGGACATGAGGCCCTCTTGGCTAAACTATTACAAGGACAAAATAAGTAATATCTGCAAAGAAGCCCCAGCACAGGGTCTGGCATATGGTAGGCTCAATGCAGTCTTAAAAAGAAAGCTGGTGCCAGACAGCTTTCTGCTCAGATAGCAGGGATAGCTGTCAGGGATAGATGCCTGGAACAATGTCTCCTATGATAAGTACCCAAAAAAATGTTTAAGAGGGAACAGTGATTCTCAGTGTAACTGGGAAGAAAAATCAATCAGCTGGAGTTTATTAAAACTTCAGGCTTCTGGGCCCGTCCCTAGAATTTCCAACTCTGAAAGTCTGGCACAGGGTCCAAGAAGCTGAATTTTCAAGAAATATCCCACAGGTGGTCTAAGGACCACATTCTGAGAAACCAATCGATCTATCTGTGAGTATTTAAGCCGCTTCGATATGTCAGGTCAAGGTTAATCTTCTTTGTAGGGATAGAGAAAGAACAAGAAGAGTCTGTGCCCTCGTGGAGTTTACATTTTAGTGAGGGTAGAAAATATCAGGTACACAAGTAAAGGTAGACAGCCAGTGACGGCGTTGTAAAGAAAATAAAGCAGGTGGGCAGAGGACATGGAATGCGCTTGGGTGGCAGGGAGGGGATCTCTCTGAGGTCACTGAGGAATGACAGGAAGGAGCCAGCCAGTAAACTACTGCGGGCAAAGTATCCAGATGGATCCTCATTTTCCTCCAAGCTCCCCTCGACCCAGGCCCTGGTCCAAGACTATTTCAAAGGAAACCAAGTCCAGAACAGTGATGCTCCCGCCTTTATAATCAAGGCTTTCGGAGCCAGGACAGAGATTGCAATGGGGATCTCGACAGCACCTTCTCTCTGGGCCATGGAACCCACAGGCTTCCTCTATCTAGCCAGGGGCAGAGGTCTGAACCTCTGCCTTTTGGGAAAGCTGGCCCCTGCCCCACCTCCCTTACTCAAGTGTCCCTAAGGTCTCAGCCAAGCCAGATCCCAGGGCTGAGCCAGCAGGTGTGACTATGCCCGATCCTCAGACAGCTCTCTTGGGGCCCCGGGAGCACTGCCCATGTGGGTGGGGCCTCCTGAGCATCCTTCCTGATTTGAAGTCCAGGTCCCTGGAGATCACAGGGGTGGGACTGGTCCCCAGGATTACGGAGAACATGACATCACCAAAGAGGCTGGTCCCCCTTCCCAGCAGGTTGGACGACACATTGGGAAGACGGGTGCCTGGGACCTCCCAGGAGGGACAGGAGTGCCGCGTGGCACAGTGAGACTCCCAGGGCAGGTGGGTAGCCAGGGGCTGGAGGTTCCAGGATCACTTCTTCTTGGCACGATCTGCTGTGTCCAGGGCAGCCATGTTGCGGGCGGCTGTGATCAGGTGGATGACACTGATGAGGGACTTGAGCAAGGCGATAGGGGCTGTGATCCAGAGGCCCATTCGGAAAAGACCTACAGAGCCAACTGTGGGAAGGGAGCAAGGGCGATACAGAGAAATCAGAATGTGGGTGAGGGAGGGGCCTTCGACTCCCCGGGCAGGCCCGACCCCCTCCCATCCTCCTGCCCAGCCCCTCATCTCCTACCTAAAGGTCCCTCGGAGAAATTGAACAGGTAGAGAAGGCAGAAGAAGAGCTCATTTCCAGCACACAGGGTAAACAGAGCGGGCTGCACAGACAGCAAAAACGCTGCTTAAACAAGAGGGTAGGGTAGTGCCCCCGATCCCCCAACTAAGGGCCGGGGGGCCAGGAACTGTACTGGAGAAAGAGGGGTGCAGGGCGGTGCGGGTAGGATGTGGGTGGGCACAGGGGGAACAGGGCAGATCAGGGAACCTGCCCAAGGCCCTTCACCCTCCCCTTCCGCACGGAGCTGTGGGCAGCACTCACCACAAGGTATGATCCAACAGGAAGATATTTTTACCGGGCTGCCCCCTTGAAGCCCTGGGCCTTACCTGGAGGTGTTACACCCTTGAGCCTCGAGTGTAAAGACTACAGTCCTTCTCACGGCCTAAGGCCTTGGTTTTGCACACCTCTCTGGCTTCTTCCTCCCTCCCTCTCCCCTCAAGCCACTCAGTTCCTTCTCCCTGGGCGCACCTGGGCCTCAGGCCCACTTGCTTTCTCCAGCAATTCACAGGGCTCAGCCCAGGAGCCCTTCCCACCAATCCCACCCTGGGCCCAGGGCTCAGCCCAGGACTTGCCCGTAAGCTAAGTGAATAGGGAGGGGCAGCAAATGCTCACTCTGGAGGTGTAGTAGATGCGAAGCACTGGATTTCCAGACAGGTCAATCATCTTGTGACTTTCACTGCCTCGGACCACAGAACTTGGGGAGAAAGTAGGCGGAATCCATGAGCTTTCATTACTACGAATGCCCACCTAATCCACATATCAACCCACACAAAGTAGGTACTGGGATTGCCTCTGTTGAACAGAGGAGGGACTGGGGCACAGCTGAGGACCACTGTCTTGCCCAAAGTCACACTACCTAGCTGGGTAGCTGGGGGAAGAATCAGGATTCAAAAGCCCCATGCCCCTTCCCAAGGGATGTTAACTCTTTGGAATCCTCAGAAGAGTTTTAGGGATTACTTAATCCAACTGTAAAACAGGACTGACGCTAATTCAGAGAAGATTTGCCCAGGGTCCTTCAACAAAGCAGAGCTAAAAAGGAGACCTCGCAAGAAGCCTGAAGACACCTCCCATATGGTCTCACCCCCTCCCCACTGTAGTGTCGTCTTCAGCCGGTCAACACCCCCGGAATCACTGACCTGTGGAGGTGCAGCCAGTGGCTGGCAACATCCAAGCTCATGCTGAGCTGGAAAAGAAGGGTGGCGCGAGGGTACAGCAGGGCCAGGTTGACCAGCAGACACATTGTGGAGCACCGGTCTGTCAGCATGTCCAGCATGGCCCCAAATCGGGTTCCTGAAAAATGGCAACTATTAGGTGGATGGGGGTCTGTAAGGGGGCAATGCATCTGTGACAGAGGCCATATTTAGTGTATCACTCTAATGCAGAGTCTAAGAGAGAAAAGGCCCACAATCCACTGCCTGGGGAGGAAAGCAGACAGCTATCGTTGGAGTATGAAGGTCAAAAGGCAAGGGTCACCGTACCATAAAACAAGGAAGCATGGCAGTGTAGAGAAAACAGTGTAGAAGGGAGTGAGAAAGCTAGCACGGGAAGTCTTAGAGGTGGGTCTGAAGAACAGATTAAAAAAATTAATCATCTCTCCAGAAACCATCTCCCTTCCCTCTCCATCCTCCCTCTAAACATGCTTTCTGGAATCTTTATGGCTTGTGCCTGGCATGCAGTAGATGCCCCCAAAACACCTGTTGAATGGATTTTTATTCAGAGAGGCCTCCAGCACTTGCACTGCCATGCCGGGTCTTGGTATCCCACACCCCTCGCTATCAATGAGTTCTTCACAGCGAGCTTAAATCCCTTCTGCCACAAAATCAGGCCATTCTATTCTGCTTTCTACAGAGATGGGAATGACAGAGCCCTCTGATTCCCGAGTACCCGCCTACCCCGAGGTCCTAAGGAAGCAGGAAAAGAGGGCAGAGGGTTGTTGGGTCTCAAGGCTGGCTGAGAAAAGGTGTCTGTCACCTTGATTAAGGGCTCGAGCAGCGTGTCCATCGAAAGCGTCCAGAAGTCCGCTGAGCAGGTAGAAGGAGGAGGCCGTGAGAGGGCAGCAGGGCATGAAGTAGAAAGAAATGATGGCGAAGACAATCCGGGCATAACCTTGGGATTGAGACGGTAGGGGAGACAGGGCAGGATCAGGGAGCCTGCCCAAGGCCCCTAGCCCTCCCGTTCGGCCCGGAGCCGCGGGTAGCACTCACCGATGAGGTTCGGTACAAACAGGAAGATATTTTCGCCTGGCATCGCGGAGGTCCCCTGGCCGCCCTGGGCCTTATCTGGAGGTTCCAGCTCTCTTCCAGCCCCGGCGGAAGGCTCACCCTCCAGCCCGGCTCATCGGCCGCGCCCACTGCGCGCAGGTCCCCGCTGCCCCTGCCAGGTCCCAGATGTTAAAGCTCTTTGCCTGCCGTAGCATGGGCCGACACAGCTGTGCGCGGGGCACAGAGGGCGCGCACACCCAGCCCTTCCCCTGAGCAGACGCTGGCCTCCGCCTGCCCCGCCGGCGCTCCTGCCTCCAGCTGCGGCCCCTGCTCCTCCAGCTGTGCTTAGCTTCCGGAACCTAGTCTTCAGCCTTCGTCCTTGCAAAATTGGAGAAAGGAAGAAGCAGCTTAAGAAATGGCTGCGTCCCCTTTAAGACCTGCCCGCTTCCTTTTCCTTTTCTTCCCTCCGCCCCTTTCCATCGGTTCGTACCAAAGTACAGAGGGAGGAGAGGGGGCAAAGAACCATCAACGCTGAGCAAAGGAAGGGACTTAAAAGGAGAGGTCAAAAGAGAAGGAGGCCTAGGTAAATGTCTCTACTTTCCTTTCTGCGGAGGATATGACTCCTGAAGACAAAGATAAGGAAAAAAGATCCCGCCCTCCCGATTCTTTGCACCCCCGAGAGGCCAGGTTATTTGGCACAGCCCACACTTTTTCTTCCCCGCCCCCTCTCTTTGCCCCCATTTGCTCTCGCAGGCTCCAGGCAACGAGATGACAGCTAGAGAGGTTGGAGGGTGGCCTCGGGTGGGGTTGCTTCTCGCGTGCCCCTAGTGGTGGGAGGGTTAGGTGCCAGGCTCCACGTTGATCTTCCCAAGTTTCTCAAGGCCACTGGCGCGGGGGTCACTGCCCCCAAGGAGGGACCTAAAGGGGGTGGAGGAGAGGCCGGAGGAGCGAATGCGACAAGCTGGGAAAATGCCCTCCCAGCTTTGGTTCTAGAATCCCTACTCTCCTGGCAACGGTGCTGCTGAAACTTCGCAAACGCCAAGGTTTTTATAGCAACGGGTAGCGGCGCCGCTCCCGGTTCCCCTCTTTCCAACCTTCCTCCCCAGCTCCCAAGTCCCCCGGCCCCCGGCCCCCGGCCCATAAAAGGGCTCCTTAGACCTCCCCGTCTCCCCTCCTGCCGAGTAGCCCAAGATTTCGACCCATCTGCCAGGTCGGGGGCGGCAAGTGTTCTGCCTTGTCTTGGGAAGGGTCTTGGGTGGGAAGAAGGGAAGAGAGGCCCCTGCTGGGCGAAGTGAGGGGGGCGGGAGGCGGGAGTTGTGGGAGTCCCACCTCCTCCCTCCCCCAGGAAGACTTAAGGCAACGATTTCTTTTTTTTTTTTCTTTTTTTTCAGAGAGAGAACTGACACAGTTCTCCAAGGCCGCGGGGAATGGTGGTGTGTTGGGTTTGGGAAAAGTGGGCTAGTTTCGTAGCCTAACCTGAGCTTCCGCTGTCCCCAGGGGGATGGCATCTCCACTGAATGTGGAGAAAAAGGGCAGCGGACAATCCCAAGCTACAGACTCTGCAGCCTGCTTGGGTGGAGGTCCGGTGAGCATTGGAGAGGAGTTCTTGGGGTGGGGGGTGAAGTGAAGTGGAGAGCTCCTAGGCTTAGGGCACTGAGACCGCCAGCCTGGAAACTCTAGCCTCAACCCTGAGCCCAGAGCCCCCAGCACTACGCCCCTGAGGTCCCCAAAGGCTGCCCTCCACTTCCAGGACCTTCCAGGACAAATTGCAAGACCCAGCCATCCAATACCAGACTCCTTAGACCCAGAGCCCCCAGCCTGGGAGCCTCCAGACCCAGGACTCCCATGTAGGAACTCCCAGGCTGAGCCCCTCTGACTTTCCCTTTTCCAGAAGGTTTCCCATTCTGAGGAATTCCTGACACAGATCAGCACAGAACTCACTGACGAGGCCTTGTTTGTCGCTGCCTACCACATGAATCCTGTGCCCATCAAAGAAAAACAGACACAAGACCAAGGGACTCAGATATCCAAACACGGTGAACCCCACGCCAGGACCCTTCTGTCCAGAGGCCCTCCGATACCCCAAGTTTCAGTGCCTGCTGCCAGTCATGCCAGCCTTCTCATTCTTCCTGGGGCATGGCAGGCACGCTCCCGCCTTTGGACAGATTATGTGTGAGGGGCCCTTGGGAACTCCAGGTGGAAATGCTTTGTAGACAGTTGGAAATATGGCTTCAGAACTCAGTGGCAAGATCTGGGCTGGTGATAGAGATCTGATCTAGGAGGAAGTTGGCAGTTGAAGGGTGTGCAGTTGCCCTGGTGGGGGGTGGGGTGGGGGGATGGAGGGTTGTGCAGAGTGAGAAAGATGAGGGGCACTGAGGATGGAGCCTTGGAGAACCTCTCCAAGTAAGGCGTTAGTAGAGGAGGAGAGAGGGGTTCATGAAGAAGGTAGAGAAGGAACTGACAGCAGTGTTTATTTTTTTTAAATGACTTTTAAAATTTTATTTATTTATTTTTGGCTGTGTTGGGTCTTCGTTGCTGCACACGGGCTTTCTCTAGTTGCGGCAAGCGGGGGCTACTCTTCGTTGTGGTGTGCGGACTTCTCATTGCAGTGGCTTCTCTTGTTGCAGAGCACGGGCTCTAGGCGCGCGGGCTTCAGTAGTTGTGGCACACGGGCTCAGTAGTTGCGGCTCGCAGGCTCTAGAGCACAGGCTCAGTAGTTGTGGCGCACAGGCTTAGTTGCTCTGCGGCATGTGGGATCTTCCTGGACCAGGCCTCTAACCTGTGTCCCCTGCATTGGTAGGTGGTTTCTCAACCAGTGCACCACCAGGGAAGTCTCAGCAAATGTTTATTGAGTGTCTCTTATGAATAGGGAATGATGGGTAGATTTGTGGATGGATGGAAAGAGAATGGTGGGTGGATGGATAGATGGATAGGTGGGGAATGGTGGATGGATAAGTAGATGGATGGGGGATAGGGGTTGGATGGATAGGTGAAGGATGGAAAGATAAAAAGACATGAACCTTGAATCTAAAGTCAAAAGACTCTTATTCTTTTCTAGGGAGCTCTGCCTAGCAACTGGACATCTGGAGGATGATCCCAACTCTGGTGCTGCTCTTGGCATCTCGTGCCCTCCGCCCACTCTGTTCCTCTAGAACATGCATCAAAGCTCCTCTTTCACAACTCATTCAACAGTTTGGTTTTGGGGCGATTCCTGGTCATGAGCAACATCACCCCTGAAGCCTCCAAAGGGTTCTGGAACCATCACACACCTCTCCACCCTCAGCTAGCAAGGACACCACCAGAAATCAAAAACTTTAATAAAGTGACAGAGATCCTTCCCTCCTCTCAGGCTGGGCAGTGCTGTCTGTGGGGTGATGTGGGAGGCGTGCCCCTCCCCCTTTTTGCCAGATATGTGGGCATATTATTTTATTTCCTATTCCTTTTTTTTAATCATCTTTATTGGAGTATAATTATTTTACAATATTCCTATTCCTTTTTTTTTTTAACATCTATTGGAGTATAATTGCTTTACAATGGGGTGTTAAGTTTCTTGGGCATATTATTGGAATGGCTTTTTTTTCTTTTTGAGTGATTTTTCTTTTTTAATTTTTTTTTTTCACAGCACCACGTGGCATGTGGGATCTTACTTCCCAGACCAGGGATCAAACCAGCACCCTCTGCAGTGGAAATGCGGAGTCTTAACCACTGGACCACCAGGGAATTCCCCTGGAATGGCTTTTTTTTTTTTTTTTTAACAAATTTATTTATTTATCTACTTATGGCTGCGTTGGGGCTACTCTTCGTTTTGGTATGCAGGCTTCGCATTGCGGTGGCTTCTCTTGTTGTGGAGCACGGGCTCTAGGTGCACGGGCTTCAGTAGGTGTGGCACGCGGGCTCTAGAGCACAGGCTCAGTAGTTGTAGTGCGCAGGCTTATTGCTCCACAGCATATGGGATCTTCCTGGACCAGGGCTCGAACCCGTGTTCCCTGCATTGGCAGGTGGATTCTTAACCACTGTGCCACCAGGGAAGCCCCTGGAATGGCTTTAATTCAGGCAGATATCAACCTATTATCCATCAACCTGTTGGCAGAGATGAGTTCATGGGTCCACATCCAGCCTCCCAGCCAAACTCCAGCACCTTAAGGTGCCTGTGGCATCTGAGAGGGTCCACCTTTGCTTCTGATGAGCCCCTCCGGCCACCAGTGTCAGTGTTGAGGTCTCCCCTCCACGTTTTGGAGCCGCATGGCTATGGAACATATCATGCCTGTTACTAACCAGAAGGCAGTGCAGTAGGCTTTGTGACGTTTGCATTTAAATCCCAGTCTGACCATTTATTGGAGCCTTGTAAGGAAGTCAGTTCACATCTCCCAGCCTCTGTTTCCTTATCTGAAAAATGGGAATAATTGTCCCTGTTTCACAAGGGCCTTGTGAGAGTTAAAAACATAATGCATACAAAGTGCTCATCACAATGCCTGGAACGGAATAAATGCCAACAAAACTTAGGCTATTATCAAGGTCAGTTTGCCTTGTGTTCTAAAATCCAATCCTCTTTTGAGTGTCCTAAAAATGTTTCATTATATTTAATTATAAAATTTTAATTAAGGAAAATTCAGTTGATTTGGAGAAAGACTTGAAGACAAACAGGCTGAGGCTTCCCTGGTGGCACAGTGGTTAAGAATCCGCCTGCCAATGCAGGGCACACAGGTTCGAGCCCTGGTCTGGGAAGATCCCACATGCCGCGGAGCAACTAAGCCCGTGAGCTACAGCTACTGAGCCTGCACTCTCGAGCCACAACTACTGAGTCCGCGTGCCACAATTACTGAAGCCTGCGCTCCTAGAGCCCATGCTCTGCAACAAGAGAAGCCACTGCAATGAGAGGCCCAAGCACCTCAACGAGGAGTAGCCCCCGCTCGCCACAACTAGAGAGAGCCTGCGCGCGGCAATGAGGACCCAATGCAGAAAAAAAAAAAAAAAGACAACAGGCTGTAAATACCCTATAATGTTCAAAAGTAAAGTAGAAAATGACACCCATGGGAAACCAAACAAGCTCATTGTTTATGAAAAGCTACAAATCTAATACTTGGTAGACACATAACAGCAGATATGCTTAAAATGCCAAAAAGGGGGCTTCCCTGGTGGCGCAGTGGTTGAGAGTCCGCCTGCCAATGCAGGGGACACGGGTTCGTGCCCCGGTCCGGGAAGATCCCACATGCCGCGGAGAGGCTGGGCCCGTGAGCCATGGCTGCTGAGCCTGCGTGTCCGGAGCCTGTGCTCCGCAACAGGAGAGGCCACAACAGTGAGAGGCCCGCGTATCGCAAAAAAAAAAAAAAAAAAATGCCAAAAAGGACTTCCCTGGTGGCGCAGTGGTTAAGAATCTGCCTGCCAATGCAGAGGACACGG